AAGGCATCACAGATACGCATATTAAATGGCAATAAAGAAAATATGTCATCATGAAGCTGTAACACTTGACCCAACCAATGCATCTGTAATCACCATGATAATATCTGCTCTAGTTTGTTACTTTAACTACTTCATCATCTGATGTCGATGTCAAGTCAACTGTCAACTGTCTCCTAGTATAGAATTATTCGTAACATTCAACATGTAATCCATTTTTTGCTAGAATAGCTGTCGCTCTGTTTTGCGAATACATCTTACCCCGTTCATGGCTGTGTTGTATGTCAGCCTTGTAAGGATGATTTCTTTGTTCCGTCATCTGCCGTCTACTCTCCTTTGTTATTCATGTCAACAATCCATAAGGCTGGTTTGTTCATGACGCTTTGCTTTTTACATGAAAAGCCCAAACGCTGTTACGTCACCATTCATTTTGTTAGCTTTCTTTGCTTTGTCAACAACCTCTACATACATTTTATATATACGTCTACCGTCGTTTTCGTCTAAGTTGTGTGCGTAGAATCAATCATAGTTCCACTTCCACTCTAATGAACAAATAATATTCATTAAATCAAATCATCAGGTGATCAGGAGGCAGTGCTGCAAGTCTTTGATGTGAATTGAAACACGACTGAACTTATAGTTTTAATAGCACTAGTTACGTGTTATAAACGAGAAGCAAAAACAATATGAAAGGGAAAATTGGGTTACACGTTTGCAATTGTTTGAACATTAAACCAAATGACTCGTACCGAGCGTCCTTGAATAGCTTCTCTGAAGCCTAATACCAGCTGTCAGAAACATAATGAAAACAGAATGCAGATTATATTTATCATTTGTTCTTATTAGACAAACTGTTTGTTGTATCACCCAGTGTCAATTAAACCTCTCTCATGTTCTAATTACGTAAATCTCCCGCACAACCCGGAGCTCAAACATTCCTGACAAAGCTACTTTATGTAACTTCAATCGATCTACTTTGAGTAAACAGTTCAATTTCTGATTTGGAGGTCAGCGCTCATTTATATTCTGCGCGTATTACCATGTGGGATAATGCAAGTGTTGGTGTCTGTAGGTTATTGGTGTTTATAACAGGTTGAACTATAGCATACAGAAGTAATGTTGTTTAGTTTAATTGTTAAGAGGCTTTTAATTCAAGATTGGGACAAATTTAGTTCAATGATATCCCTTTGCTCACCATTACATGATAATTGCACCGCATTACTGTCAGTTCGGGGGTAATTATGTAAAGTGGTTGATGTAAGTTATAACAGCTAGTTACAGTATCTCGTTTGCCTCTTAAGAGTGAGATGTTGCGATCTTGGCTATAATGTGCAGGCATGCATGCTTGTTGGGCTCCGCTATTATATTTTTGTACATATTCTACCGTGCCTTGATTTTGATCGGACAATCAGGGGTTTCAAACCCCAATAACATTATTCCAATAAATAGATGACTTTGACGGCCTTAACACTGTGTACGTACTTCACAAGGGAAACATCTAACCTACAATAGCATAGGTTGACGACCACCCATAAACGTCATACCATCACCGTCATACCCCGAATATGATTAATAATACCCTGCTCATCATTAAACGGCAGCTGCCGTCATACAATCACATTTACGAGTCCATCAGACCATGGCACAAACCATAACAGGCATACCCTTCCCGTTATCACACAATAGTGCCATCCCACCAGTCATGTAATACCGTAACACGATAATACCTGCACAACATCACGTCATCCCCCTACTATACAATTACCCATTACACAACCATTCCATTGCAGATCACACCAATTACACTTGCACACCTTCAAACCATTGCACCTATCCACCCATCACACACCTCACACCATTTCTCAAGTATCGTTGTGTTAAAAACCTTGCGATTCAAGTCTCTCGTGAATTAGGGGAATAAGGGGCGTTGTCCCCAAGGAGGAATATAATCCTCTCTTCCTTTTTAAAATACAGCCTGCACAAAGAAAACAGGAGAGGGTCATAATGACGACATAATCATTAGATAGCACAGTAAATGAAAACATGACATTGGAATATTACCAAACGGCGCCTAAATGCACTGTAGCACAACATAATAACCAGGTTCACAGGTGACCCACTTGTCTATGGCGCAAATATTCGATGTCAATCGTGGAGTTCCTTTGGCATGCCCAGATTCGCCAAGATAATGATTCTTGTTCAGACAGCACCATACCCATGGTGTGGTAAATTCACGCGTAAATTCACTGTAGCACAGCATAATAACCAGGCCCCACTTGTCTATGACCCAGAAATTCGATGTCAATCGTGGAGTTCCTTTGGCATGCCTGTAGCCTACGATCGTTGCAGATTCGCCCAGATAACGATTCTTGTTTAGACATCACCATATCCATGCTCGTTAGCATATGCACCGGGGTAACAGTCACCATACTGACTTACATGATACCGAGTGTAAATGCCGTTAAGAGACCAGTCTATGAATATGACCCCGAGGGACTCGTTCCATTCCGATTCTCCGTCACTGCTTGGCGAAATGTATTGCGTATACAGGAAGAAAACAAATCAATTGGTGCGGAGTCTCAAGCGAGAATCAGCCATAATGTGTGATTGACTGAAACCAACGCCACATCAGACAAGTAGACTTACTCTCACCATTGCTGCAAAGCTGATGCACCGAGTGACATCGGGGGAACGTGATATCGGAGACCACGGCGGTAGTTTATCTCTGGTAATGGGCGTTGTGTATTTGCGAATTTCACGCTTGTACGTTTGAAAAGAGGGTTTCTTTATTCATGAATACGTGTGTTCTTTATTGAGAACGTCCATGTAATTTTTCACGTGATGATGTGTAGAAATAGGTCTTAAATTGCGTATACAGGAAGAAAACAAATCAATTGGTGCGGAGTCTCACGCCAGAATCAGCCATAATGTGTGATTGACTGAAGCCAACGTCATATCAGTCAAGTAGACTTACTCCCACCATCATTGCGGCAAAGCTGATGCACTGAATGACATCGGGATAAGGTCATGACCCAGCGGGTACACAACGTTTAATCAACGTTGACTTTTGGTTGTTTGGTTGATCAACCTTTCATAAACGTTGATTCAACGTTTATCATGCGACCAAAGAAAATTAGTCGAGATTCGTTTAGTTGTCAACGTTGTGTCAACGTAAGGAATCAACGAAATGTCGACTAATTGTATCCTGGGTACATTTGTCACATATACATGTATTGGTAATAGGTATCCAACTTAGCAACTATCATTTCTGAACATTAATTTGATAAATGATCCAGATCGACCTAGGCCCAGATATAATCTAATATATTGTATGATTGTTCATCGGTCAACGGACGGAAATGTTACGTTAGTCGTAATTGAAAATTAAAAAAATCAATGATTTTAGGTATAAAGTCATCAGTTAGCTGAATTACATTAAATATCATATTTTCTCCCAAAACTGTCAAAATCTTAAAATTCCCGACAGTTTGCTGTCAAACACATGCCAGATGATGACATGTCGATCGCCTCGTTTGATCATATACGGACATGCGCACATTTATCGCGCGCGCAAAGGCAGTAGATCGTTGTCAGTTCGTCGTTTCACTTTGGCGAAGTTCACCGCAACATCGTTTTATTTCAATAGCTTCTCGGCATGCTGGTGTTTATTTGGTAAGTATTTCATTCATGTATAATGAACACGTAAGAATGTTGTTTATCTAGCATGTTAATGTAGCAGGAAACTCCGAGTTAGGGCTCATGTTTATCTCACAAGGTTACCGGTATGTCATGTACGTGTTTCTCAATTTCGTGGAAGCCCATGTTTTCCAAGAATTTGTTTTGTTATTTTTCAAAATATTTGCATGCATATATTTGGCATTTTATTATATAAAGCTATACGAAATCAAATAGAATCTATTCATATTATATATTATATCACATTATTATGAAAATATGTAGGTTTGAATAGATCTAGCAGTAAATTGTGCAATGAGCAGTGCACGCTCTGAACTCTGTCAGTGTATGTATATTAATTGTTGGTTTGCAAACCGAAACATGAGTCTCATTCAGACAATGACTTACTTTTCAGCCGATCCGAATTTTCTCGTGTGAAAGTGAAAAGAGACGCCACAAACAACTATGGTTACACTGAATGCCAATACCTTGTTTCATAAGAAAATGGTATTTATAAGGTAATTTTAATTTTAAACTTTAATAACATCGTATTTCTATATTTTATGGCGAGGTGTAGGCAGCATGTTGTTAACAAAGACGTCTGAGACTGCCCCTGTTTGATAAGGTCATAAATGATTCATAATTCATAGGCTCTCTGGTTACATCTTTATGTGTTCTTTGCGCTTATTCAGTGTAGTTTTGTAACGCACAATATGATTGTATAATATCAAGTCCCAACCAGACCGCCAAACTTTTCTAGCGGCAGAGCCTTGTTTTGAGATGTCCACTATTTCCAGAAATAAGTTTGTCAGAGCACGCTGTACGACAGAGCACGCTGCACGACGTATTTGCAAGGATTAGAAGGAGCGTAGTGTTGCAATATACAAGTGCTTAGATGTATCAAATAATACTGATAAATATTTATGCATCCAGTTGAATGAATTGGTCCCAAAATTCTGGACTGGTTATTGTACGAAGTTGCGCAATAGGACGGAACCCAGTCAGCAGGAAACGAGACTGTTGTGCAATCAATGTTTTGACGTCTTTGGGTGCGTGGGTTAGTGATGGTGATGGAGAATGGCGAAAGGAAATCTTTCTCAGATCATGCAACGAAAATTCACAATAAAATGTCTTGTGCATGTCTTTGTGAAGGGTGAAATTGTATATAATTTTATAAAACTTTTATTTATTTACAAAATATGTAACTTAACGAATGATTCTTTGATGGGACAGTTAACAAAACTGTGATGATTTACATCCTTAATGGTTAAAATGTTACATATAAAAGAAGTAATTTATAAAGGAACATTTAATTATAAAACATAAGATTTATCTTTAATTGAATTTGCAGAAATCTCATCTTCGAAGATTGGGTGGCATTATTTTTGTGGATCACATGAAAAGAGCAATGCTTAGGTAACAAGTTTTTAACATTTCACTTGTTCACCAGTATCTCCATCACAAAGATTAGGAGAAAGATGATAATGTACTTTTATTACCACCCACTTTGTTTTCTCATCCTTTAATGTAATAAATGGCTTTTGTTACAATTTATGACTCCTGTTAGCAAAATTGCTACATCAGTAGAACACCTATCTAGTTTTAAATACGGAATCTCTAAAGAAAACTAAATCTGACAGAATAACAACAAACTTCCATTGTTTTGCAGGACAACGTCAAACAATTTGATGTCAAGAATGAATGTTGATGGACGAAACGGCAAGTTTTCCTTTAAAAATACAAGGTTGTATTCAATCATCTCTGGTAAGTTAATTACCAAATGCTCTTTGTCAGCATTTTCATCATGACCATAGCAAATAATATATGACAGTAAAACATCGTCTAATTCAATCTAATTCATAGTCTAATTGAATAATCAGTTTGCAATTAAGGATTTTCTTTGAAAATGTTTAAGAAGACTTCCATTCATTTAGTTGAAAATATAAATTGTTTACATTATAAAAGTACTCTTCTTCATTTATTGTATGGATGCTGTATGTTCACATGCCGAGTTACAGCAGTGAAGTGAACCTTTCTTGTGATTGATTTAACAAATATTTGAATCATTTAAGACAACATATCTTCCATATAAAATTTATATGTATTTATATATAAATATTTCAGAATGTATCCTATCTCAGGATGGGAATGCAACCGAAGCAAATTTCAAGAAAGAGTTAGGAACCTTTCTGAAGTATGCACCTTTTCAAGATAACAATACAACAGTAAATGGGTTTTCTTAATTTGGAATACTCTTTCCTTCTGACTGGAATTATATCCAACTGACATAAAACTTAAATGAACACTATAGTGCATGTGAAATTTTGACCACGCATTTTATGAGGTAAATAATTTTACTGTATGTGTCTGTTTCACTGTTTATTGCAGGTAGCTTTTTTGGGGTATTTTAATTAGATGCAGGAGTTTAGTGCTACCTTACTGTAGTTTAAAGTTGAAATGCGAGGTTATTTACAGCAATAACGGAATACACATATTGTAACCTGGGTTGAATCTTCACGTGTTTACGTTAGATTTCTATATAAGAAAACTCCCATACACAACCACGGAACAACCCATTTTCAACGTTAATAATATGTCAAACTTCAATGTTGATTCCACGTCGGATATCTACGTTTAAAAAACTTTCATATACAACCTATTTTCAACCTAATTTCGACGTTGAGGAACACCTATTCTCAACGTTGAAACAACGTTGATGTGCCCGCTGGGGACGGACATTATCTCTACTAATGGGAGCTGTGTATATGCAAACTTCACACTTGTACATTTGTAAAGAGGGTTTCTTTATACATGAATATTGTAATTCTTAGTTGAACTTCGGTGTACTTTTTTGTGGAAATGGGTCTTAAATCTGTGTTCACTTCGTGAAACTAAAAAAAGGTAGCTATTACGAGAACCGGTATGAAAGACATTTCCAGAATATTTTTACGAAGGGCTTTGCATGTTTTTTGTGTGTACGATCCTGTAGAATATTTTATTTCGGTGGAGTTGGAAGAGACATACAACCTACATTGTACTGAAACAGAGTGAATTAATCAATATTTGTTTGCTGTGGTGGGGATTTCCCTAAGTGGGTAACGTCTGAGACCTTCATCACTTCGGACCTTCATCCTTCGGATTGACTGACTCAGATGGAATTTGGAATGACAAGAGTGTCTTAATTTTTTGTCATACGGAAAAAAATGCATCCCTTCCATTCACATAACCGATTTAATAAAACCAAGATTGTGTGCGTTGTTCCTACGATTCTAACAAATGTTCTACTAAAACTAAATTTTAAAAATCAGCAATAATATTAGCATTTAGGATAAACAAGATCGGGACCAGGACTGAACCTCGTGGGAATTCCACTGCGAACATAACTGGTTCTCTCAAAGTCTTTGCAACAATGATATATATATGATTACAATCTGATATATATGTAATTCAATCTGATATAGTGTCTCTTACATGAAATTTGTCTGCTTCTACTTCAGATATTAATATCAACAATCAAAGTAAACAGTACGAAGTGCTCTTTTCCTTTACTTCCTTAAAATACTTCTATAATCCAATCAGTAGAATGGGGACATGTTGTTATACCCAATAGTCAGCCCACTGGTCAACGTTTAAATACGGGTATGGACGAAAGTGCAGAAAGCTCATGCAATGACTTGTGTTATTGTGCTAACGATGATGGTTTCCGGTCTGCTTTCCACGTCGTAGAACACTGAGTTACAACGCCAGGTCTTCAAAACGAATCCTTTGGCACTGCATTAGTCCCAAGTGAGGATTCACAAGGCGATTGGAATAGGTATGTCCTCTTCGTCAATGAAAAGTCGAGCTTTCAGGAACACACAAACGAATCTATGCATAACCAAACATGAACTCTACATTAACACTAACTGTGCATTATCTACTATTAGTTAACGCTATCTGTGTCTAATATAACCAATCCCAAGAGTCAATCCAGACGTTCAGGTACCTACACAACGAACAGCCAATCGTTTGTCACAGACGCACAGTTCAATTCACACTAATATCCAATCTATTCATCACAAACATCCGACTCACTTCATCACCAATAGCCAGTCTATTCGTCAGACAAAAACAGTCCTCTACATATGCTATAGCCAAACTTTAATTTATAAACTACCACCCCTCTGCACAAACTATATACTGGTGGGAGCTGGCTGTGAGTACGTCAGCTGTATGTGTCTACTCTACGGATATAATAGTTCCATACATCTGTATCCTCACTCCAAGGAGTAATTATCACAATCATTTATCACTAGCTCATCTCTGCATTTCATCTTCGTACACAATCCAGAGGCACATTTAGATATTAGATGAACAGGAATCACTGTTAGATAATACGAAAGGTGATATGTACTTACACAAACATCAGTTAAAAGATTGTTACACATCAGGGTATATTTCCGCTAGTGTTGTTTTGATATCACGGAAATTAAATAGCATACGCTCTGGAGTGGGTTAAGCTTATTTGTTTAAAGAAGCTTTAATGCATGTCTTATTCACGAACAAATGGATATGTTTAGACGCTGTGTCATATATTCCGCGGGGCCAAAGAAGCTTGTTGACTGAGACTGAGCAGATCAATGGGCAGTTGACCAGAAACCCGTACATTCTATATCTGTCTTTTTTGTCTTTGATTCGTGGATACGACAAGCATGAATGTAAGGAGACAAAACTCCTATTCAGAAGGAGGTACATAGAAATTGTCGGCATGATTACACGTGCAGAATCACGTAGCTGTATCCTAAATTGGTTTAAGTTGACTGCACAAACACAATAAGAAAATGTGAAGATGTCCAAGGTTTCTGTTTAGTCATCAAATTGTTCTGTCAAGATAATCGATGTGGGAGTGTTGTGTTTATATAGCTTAATTAAATCCGCTTAACCAGATTACTGGTCAGCCTAGGCGTGATCGATAACTAGACAATATCATTGCTTGCAAATATCTGAACGTGAGGTGTCATAGATATTAATGCAACCTCGTGTCAAGGTGATACATATTACTGGTGAATATTGGTCTTGACCGTGCCAGATATGGCAGCTGTACTACATGAGGAGTTTGGGGCGCTATATTGCTTTTCATTTGCGTCTTTGAAAACATTTCATGGCCGCGATCCTGATCGATTTGTGCTATCAATTAAGACGGAATTACCCTTTAATCGACGATAAGACCAATTATAGAAGCATGATCATTATTAAAAATATGACATAAAATCACTAAAACTGCATTGACGCGTCAACGGAATACCACTTACACCAGAAAACACCAATTATCAACAAAACGATACTAAAAAGCAACATTATGTACAACAAAGGGACACTTGACATTTGACATGAATGTTGTCAATGATGACTAGCGTAATGAATTTACCGAGGCCTTGAATGTTGTAAACTTGTCAAACATCTTCTGAGGAAGAGGAACTTTTTGAAATGCATGCAGAGGGAGAAACTGAAATGGAAACACCAAAGCTTGGAGACGGCTTGAATAATGCTCGACATATGAGGAAGGTGACTATTTGAGAGCGATAACACCCAAACAAATACAATAAACGCAAAGAGTAAAAGACAAATGCATTATGTACCGAAACCACCAGAAACAACACACAAAACCAAGACCATCATCACCTACAACAACAGCCTATTAATAATAACCATCAAACCAAGAAGAATATACACAACGTCTACATGCAGGCATGTGCACTCCATGACCCGATATGTTCGCTCGTAAAGTAACATGCATCTCACGGAACGTCTTTGTCATCAAAGGCATAGCCCATTCCTTTGAGAATTCTTTCAATCCATACGATAATTCGTCAAATGATCCTAACAAGATCGCATTCGTCATTCGCGGTCCAGTAAAACCGCAATGCATTTAGTCGTCGCGCAACCAGAATCACTACAATTCCAGTAAGCTAATTCCTCTCCCATGGACGAAAGCTTTTCATTAGAATATCGAATAGTTGTATGATGTTAGAGCCTAAAACGCTCTCCACAAAAGCACGTATGATAAATGAGTCGGTGACAGCTTCATTACCATGGCATACTGCAGAAAGTGGCTGCAGCGCTTGGTATAGTATTTATGCACTGCCTACAATCACCAGTAAATCATGGCTTGTCCAGCCGAGAGAACAACAGGCTGTTTCATCTCGAGAGTTTATGGAGCAAAAACTATTATTTTCTTTTGTTTATTCTGCTCGTTACACATGTATATTGATTGCCTCGACGCTCAACAAACGGAATGGGTGAAACGTTCTGACAAACATACACACTATGTCTAGCAGGCCGCATTATTGACAATATGAATACCCGTGCGCAACCTGTGTATATCTGTATGTTTAATACGAGTTCGCTTCATTAGATATTTTAATCATTTATAGCAGTAGGATAAGTGGCAAGTTTGTAAGAACCGAGTAAGATTCAACAGCTAGTATTGCATTAAAGCATATGTACGGCATGCACTGGTTTCTGTGATCAATTTAAATTCACTCCTGCTCTACGGAATTTCACCGTTTGGCTGAAGTTTCGAAAAAGGTTTCGAAAAAGGTGCGTCATTTCCGCAATGTACGCCTGAAATTCGGTAATCCTCGCCATAAACTATACGTACTCATGCTACATGTTCAAATCATATAATGTGTAACTAGCCTATGCCATCTTGTTTTGACATCGAAACGTTGGGTACTTTTAATAATTCAGAATGGATATACTGCAGATATGACCATGCTCTTGTT